CCGACACATTCGTGCCATTTTACAGCAAAGTAACAGGTGTAAGCAATACTAGCTAAATTCAATAGAGTATTTCTAGATCTTATCATTTTCATCCATGGTTTGATGAAATTTCTCTACAATTCTACAGGCTGCTACAAAATCCATTGTTGGACAGAGGCTCATTTTATTTCTCTAGTTGTGGCTCTGACAGCAGCACAGCAGACACTAAATCAAACAATCAAAATGTGACTGAAGTTTAACCCAAAGATTTTGCATTAACTTGGCCCCTCATCTGCAGAGGCTCAAATATAACCGGACAGACTAACAATCTTAAATGTTCGGCTTATTTTTTAATACTTGAATGAAAATCTTTTGCTGTGAGTGACGGCCTGAACTCTAAATTGCCAAATGTCGTTTGCTCCCTTGAGATGCTCTGCCAGACCTTGTTTATGAGACTCTCTGCCTTGAGTTTTGTATTTAATAACTGAAAAGCGGCTCTGTTGGGTTGAAATCAGGTGACTGACTTGGCCACTGAATAATATCCCGTGTCTTATAAGAGAAGCTCTTGGGGCATTTCTACAGATTTTGGTGATTCTGAGCAGAACGCATCGCCCTGCGCACTTTATAATTCATCCTGTTACTTCTATCAGCATCAGTAAACATCAGTGACAAGGTAACACTGGCAGCCATACATGCCACAGCGTTACCTCACCATGTTTTAAAGATAAAATGATATTCTTTAGATCATGAGCTGCTTCTCATCCCAGCTGTTTCAGATGTTTTCCTATAAAGTCTAATCCAGTCTTCCAGTTCTTGAATGTAATCAGCACTCTAAACTTTGCAAGTCCTAAAAATATTTGTATTTTTTTTTAAATAAAAGGCTTTAATTTTGAAAAATCTACATTATCAATGGGGCAAACATTTTAAAATAGTGAGTTTGTTGAATGTTTTTGCCATAGAAAATCAATAATGTGAACTTCAGCTTATGTAAAATTAAAAGCCAAACTATTATCCATAAGAATAAGTCAGAATGTGTTGAAGAATAAAGGGATTCATATGAAATACTGACTTTCAAACTCTTTTGCATAATCGAGGCTTTCTGTGTACATTTGCACATATCTTAATAAATCACTGCAACTGTTTTTTATTTCCATGCAAAGTAGAAAGAAATAAGGAGTGGCTCACTTTTGCAAAGCACTGAAGTAAACCAGCCAAAGGTTCAGGCGTTGAAAGACTGCCAATTATTACGTCACTGATTACTGACCTGCACACCTGAAGCTGAGCTGGATCTAACTGGTAGCGCTGAGCGATACTGCGGGGCCAGTATTGCCGATACCAATACATGTAAACTAGATGAGAGCAGTGTGTCCTGACTTATATGAATCAGAATTAGTTTTTTAAATTCTGAACACATTTTAATGACCACTAAATCACTGTTAACACAACAAAACACTCCACTGGTTTTGTTGCATTTTGAAAATTAGATGCGACAGTTAACACAAAAAAGTTAAGACATTGATCACACTAGATGTTTCCCAAAAATAAAAAATAAAAATCCAACACAATTTTAACACAATTCAGTGCTACATGCTGAACTTGGAGGATTTAGTATCGATCTCATTGTGCTAGTATCGATCCCATACCAATACTAGCGTTGGTATCGGTACTATCGGTCTTCCCACCTCTACTAATTGGACCCCGTGTCCGAGTGGAGGGCACAAAAACCACGAGCAGCGCTTAGTTAGAAATTTGCCAGTGGAGCTGAAGGTAGGTATCAGGTAGGACCACATTAGGAGCCGGCTAATGTTTTCTTTACCTGGAGGGTGTGCAATTTATTCATCTTTTTTTAGTACAGGAAGTCTGGTTGATAGCGCCAACCACCTTCTAAATTATGTATTGATAGGTTACTCATTTTTAAACCCTCAAAGTTGTGACCATCCACAAATGCTTAATGTGGGCTTTAGAAAGATTAAATAAATGATCAATCCAAAGGTTAATCGCATTAACAGGCTGTTTGGGTGTTCAAAGAAGTAGTTCCCTTATTTGAGACCTATTTTTAAGTCCGTAAGTTCGAGGCATTTATTTTTCTCGGCTAACTTAAAGATGGTGACTGAATAAGTTGGCACAATTCTCAAAAACACTGAGTTAAATCTGTACGGCCCAGATATGTAATTATTCCCCCTTCCTTAAACATTTTGCCCGTTGTAGTGGAAACGGCACGGGTGTTTTATCTAACGAGGGTTTCGTGAATGTTCCGAGCTCTAAAGGTGGACCAACATCTACAACCACCGTTGTTTGTGCTGTGACGTTGTTTTCTTCTTTTCTTCCTCATCACCAGGTCTGTCTTTGAGATATCTGACTGATGTGAAATAAAATCCTGAAACACTTGTCTCTTTTACTTGGCTTTCACACGTACCATGAAGGGCACATTCAGGTGTTCTGGAATTAGCTTGACTCGGTGTGTTTAAGGTTCTGGACATGTTCGGGGAAATAAATGAATAAATAGCCAACACATTGTCAGCTCCCGTATTATAAACGGAGAAGTGTCCGCCTCAAAATCTAATCCCTTTTCGAGTGGAACAGTGACGGGGTTCGAGGAAAACGACCGTATATTTGACTCATTTCTACCCTCCCAGTGTAGCGGAGACGTTACGGGTCGCTGCGAGCCAACTTCACGCGAGATTTCGCTGCTCCTGACCGATTCAACATGGCGCCGTAGGAACGTTGTTATTGTTCCGTCGCTCCTGCTAGCTCTCGCTGTCCGACTAAAACTACGTAGATAAAAAAGGCCGAACGCTTTCGTGCGGGCATGAAAGGAGCATCTGGGGATAATGTTAAGATCCACCGGCTTCTTCCGAGGGATTGACTGTCCGTTTTACGCGGAGCACAGCGAGGGCCAAGGCGGCAGGAATGGGTGTAACAGACCGTACTGTCACTTCAGGCACAGCCAGCAGAGACGGCCGTCCTACGGAGCACCGGCAGATGTTAAAAAGCAGAGAGACCTTCCCTCCACACACAAAGGTGCTCGGCATTATTCTGTCAGTTACTGAATGGACCTAAATACGTGTTTGCACAGTTTGTAGGACGAATGTGGAGTGGCACACGGTGCTGTGGACGCGTGGGAACTGGCAAATCACAACCAGAACCCCTGGCAGACGTGTTATTGTTTATATCGTGGCAGTCGGTGGATGCGGGGTACATTAAAAAAAGAAAACCAAACCAACCTTTAAGGATGTGTAAAATAACCGCAGGCAGGAAATTGCAGCAGCGCACATATTCTGATGTACTGCTACAAAATTAGAATATTGCACACATGACTGCACAAAGCGAGGCGTGAAAAACGGGACTGAAGCACCGGATCAGACGGTCACAGCTGCTAATATGAGCTCATGTAAAGCAGTGAGGGCGAAAAATGTTACACTGCACTTGTAGCAGAAGGTGAGGCGTTCATGACCGATTTGCTCTCCAGTAGCTGTTCTGGTCTCTACAGTGTATTCAGAGTCGTTAAAAAGACTCGAAGAATGGTGCTCACATCCTACTGGACTTTGTTATATTATATGGTAATAATGAGTATTTTCAAGTAAACATTAAGGTTTTAAAATGGGGGGTAAAAGAAAGCAGAAAATGTTTTAATTAAATCTGGGAATGATCACATTCCCACACTTTGCTCATTCCTTTGCCTGCTCCCTTCTAGCCCCGTCTTTTACCTGCGCTATTCCCTCCTCTGCACATGCGCAGATCACTTTGTATCCAGTCTGCTCGACCTGAGCTGTGCCTCTCATGTACTCCTTTCTAATCCTGTCCATCAGCATCCGGGCACCTTCAGCTCCCAAGCCACACATCATAGCAGGTCTCACTAACATCTACTCAAGCATGCACACGTTTCACTCATCCACCTTCCACCATCCACATTCATTGTGTATCCTGTCCTGCTTCTACCGACTCTGATTCTTCTTCTCCACCTGCTGCTAACTCTCACATCCACGTTCCTGTGCAGTTCTCCTTAAACCTTTAACGTTTACATTACAGAGCCTCTGAACCTTTCTGTGCCATTTGTGTCCACATTTAAACGTCAACTCACGTGGAGATAGTTGTGATTATGCTCTAGTTTAACTTGATCTAGCCAACTGCATCTGATGGGAAGAACTTTATCTCGCTCTCCTTCCATCAGTCTAACAGTGACCTCACCGTCTACAAATATTTGACTAAATAAGGCAACAATCATGAAGGAACACTGAGTTTTCTACATACAGGGACAGAGAAACAGCTGCAGTGTGAATGCATCACTTCCTGGTTAATATTTGACGTGCTTAACGAGTTGGTTGTATCCGGTCGTTTCTATTTAAAATGCACACAGTAAATGATCACTTTTATTCTTCCCTCCAGATCAAGGCTACGATCCCTTCAATCCTGAAGTAGTGAGACCGCAGGAGCAGCAGAATGGCAAGCCGGCTGCCTCGGGCGACATCAGTGGCGCCTTGGAGCTGGTCAACAAGGCCATCGAGGAGGTCCGCAGTGAGGTGGAGCGGGAGAAGAGGAAGCTCTCTCGGATTGGGGACGAACCGTACAATCCCAGCGAGAACGCCAGCTTGTCTTCGTGCAAGACGGACACGAGTAAAGCGGCGGGTTCGCACTTGGCCTATGATCCCGGGAGTTATCAGATCACATCAGGAGGGTATAATCCCACCCCTGGCTGCAGCAAGTACACCTTGGATTCAGACAATCAGGGGCACAACAGCAACTCTATGGAATACGTTCCCACGTCGCTGAAAAGGCCTTTGTCTCGGACACACTCGCACCAGCCTCCTTCTCCTCCTCCTAGCCCAAAGCGTTCGAATAGCACGTCCTCTTCAAAGTGCAAATACACTGTGGATAATTCTAGGCCATCCACGGACATGGAGTACGACCCGCTGTCCAACTACTCGGCTGGAATCGCTGTGAAAAACAAGAGGAGCGAGGGCGCTCGGCCCGTCAGGACAGAAGGCAGCAAAGCGCACAAGCTGTCGGGCTCGGAGTTTTCCGATGAGGACTATGTCGTAGCTGCGAAAAAGCCACGGCAGCAGAGCGTAGACACAAAAAAGTACACCTTCTCTGACTCTGATGGGGAGAGCTCTGGGGCAGAGTATCGCCCCACCTCGCTTAGCAATCTGCAGCAGAGAAAAGCCGCCCACGGCTCAGACTCTTTTGGGAAGGGGAGGAAAGGGAGTGGTGAAAGTTTGCTAAATGCACTGATGCAGAGGAATAAGCAGGACTCTGACACCCAGGAAAATATTAAAAGAAAGGACAGCCCAGAGAAAAAGAAGAAAGAGGGAGGTCAGACTAGTCAGGAGAAAAGTAGCAAGACTGAGAAACTACATAAACTTGAAAAGGGAGCAAACAAATCATCCGGTAGTAAGAGCAGCGTCAGCAGCAGCAGTAAAGACAGAGCGTCGATAAAAAGCTCAAACCAGGATTCGGCGAAAAAGGAGAACAGGAGTCACGACAAGAAAGACGACAGGAAGAACACAGTGAAGGTTAAGACGTCGGATAAAATTCGCAAGGAAAGCAGGGACGAAAAGAAGAGCGACAGCAAGTTGAAAACTTTGGATAAAGTGAAAACGGACTCAAGCAAGCAAGATAAACATGCAGAAAACGGCGCGAGGGAAAGCAAGAAGCCCAAAACATCAGACAAGGAAAAGGAACAGAGCAAATATAAAGAGCATCCCCACAAAAACGGGAAGCTCGATGGTATTAGAAGAGAAAAAGATGCGAAAAAAGTTAGCAAGAGCGGTTCTAGCAGCAGCAAAGCGAGCCCATCGAACAGCAAAGATAAAGCGAGGCAAAGCGTCGGCGCTTCGAGTGTAAAGAGACAGAGTTTGAGTCTGAGCCACGCCGATCTGTTTGGAGACGAGAGTCCGGACGAGGCCCAGCAGATGGAGGCGGATTACGACGACGAAACCGAGGAAGTCCTGGTGAGGAAATCTGTCGACGCCTTAAAGAGGACTCGTCTAAACAAGAGGAAAGCGTCGGAGCTGACTCCGTCCTCCTCGGAGGACGAGGGCGACCGCGACGTGGACTGCGGCAGGGCGGGCAGGGACGAGGTTGACGGCGTCAGATTTGACCTGTCCGGTTTCCAGGACGATCTGGACTTTGACTCAGATCCCATGGAGGAGTGTTTGAGGATCTTCAATGAATCCAAAGACGTGAAGAAGGAAGACAAGGGAAGGCAGGCCAAGCAGGTGCTGATGTCTGTCGCGCTTTAGCCGCTTCCTTTTTTTCGCTAATGAATTTGCTTTGATTTCAATAGAAATGTCGTGTTGTGCCCTCTCAGCAGCACTCGAGGGACTCCGAGGAGGAGAAGAGCACAGACAGCACTTTAACCACTCTCTTCCCTGGTCAGAAGAAGAGAGTCTCCCATTTTGTTGCCAAAGGAAATGTAAGTTTCTTCCAGTGTTTTTGTTTTTCCCCGTCCTATAATCTCACAGTCAGCACCGGCAGCAGGTGTCTCCGAGGTTGCTCGTTATATAAAGAGTGAGTTTTGTCCACGGTGTCGTTTCCCCAAACAGCACGTGTCGCACAGAACTAGTTAATCATCTTACGACCTGCAGGCTTAGTTTAATGCTCATCTTTGACTGAGATATGGAGAATTAACACGTATTGCACAGTGTAACCTTTGACCCGGCTTTTCTTGCTGACGAGTCCAAGGAGACATCTTTAAATGTCTTTGATCAAAACCCTGAAATTTTACTATCATCCGCTGTAAGAAGAAATACAACAAAAACAACATAAAAGCTATAAAGGTTCAATTTACATGTCCCTAAACTAATGAACTACTTTAAGTAGAGTACTGGCAGTTGAACAGCTGTTCCTATAACACCAATAATATTTGCATACTAAACAATAGGTTTTTTATGAGGGGTTAAACTCGATAGAAACACCACAATAGAAATAGAAAAACACGCGGCAGAAGTTTGACGCAGAGAGGAAGCTACAGTAAGAGGAGGAACGGGAGTTTCACAGCTTCTTTGGCTGAGGAGGAGTTCGTCGTTTCGTCGTCCACTTAAAGTCAAATGTTTGGGCTCGTTCACGCTTCTGTTGTATCTGTTCTTTAAACGCCGGAGTCACAGGGAGACCAGACAGCAGACCTCGCCGTGACTCTGTGTTATGTCAGTGCAGGTGTGAGTTCAGGAAACGCGGCGGGCGAGGAAGTAAAGAGCGAGAAGGCGATGTGAAATTATTGGAATCTGAGGCTGTAGGTGCTTTCCGCTCATGATTTGTCAGTAGTTAGCCAGTAACTGCTCGACTGGGCGTTTCCATACTTGTGGTGACAAAATGGTCAGCAACGATTTGGGTGTCAGCTGACTTTGAAGTGTAGCTTTTTTTTGATTGCATCATCAGCTCTGTTCTGAGCGACCAAAATAACATTTTTCAGTTTTTTAATCTAAGAAATAAATGCATGTGGCAACCTGTGAGCTGCTCAACCTCTAACTCACAGTTTCATAGAGGAACTGCCTCCAGACTGATCTGTAACAGCTTGTGTTGTATGTACGTCGGCGCCTTCACTTTTAGATAAAACTTCCTGTTGTCGTTTTTCAGACCGATGCACCTTCCAGGACTGCGGTGCGGCCGTATAGGAGACCCACGGCCCAGGAGATCTGCTACCAGCGTATGCAGATGGCCCAACAGCAAGCGGCTCAGCTGTCTGCTTCGGTCAAAGCAGCCACACAGGCCTCAAGCCCCAGCTTCTCTGGAGAGAGGAAGAGAATAGCGCACCGTCCTAACCCTCAGATAGCTTCCTCCAAAACAAGTAGGAGTGGCTCGGTTTTCTTTGCCAAGAAGCAGAAATGGCAAAAATCTCAATTTTAAACGCTGACGTTACGCGTGTGTCTTTCTGATTCAGGTCTCGCAGACACTAAACATGCTGCAGGTCGCGTGTTATCGCCCAGTCACACCCTTCAGAGTGTCAAAGCTCAGACCACAGTCGGTATTTTGTCCAAGACCTCGTCTACCGTCACACAGAAGAGGGTGGCGCACACACCCACCCTGAAGGTATCCCGAGCTTCCTGCAACCTGATGTGTCGGATAGTTTGTGCACGTGGCTTGAAGTCATCGTTCTCTCTCCGCTTTGACCTTTTCAGAGTACTTCGATGAGGCGTCCTGTCATCCCCACCGAGTTCGGGGCCAAAGTTCCCACCAACATCCGCCAGCGCTACCTCAACACTTTCATCGATGAATGCGTCAAGTTTTGCCCATCGGAGGACGGCGCCTTCCAAATGGCATGAACAGCACATTTGAAATTTGCAGCCT